AAAGAAATACCGTGCAGTATTTCCTTTGTAACCTTTTGTTCTAGATTTCAACTGAGTATATGTGGTATTAACAAATCTAATTAATCCCAGTCATCCATATTTATGTAATAGATTGTCACATATGAGCAGTTACCATTATCAGCTATAATACTGTAATTGCAAAAGTGGCAAAAGGCCATCTTTATAAAAGCTTAGAACAGTTTTAATAAAAGGTGACCAATACTGTCTTAATTTTTTGCGAAAATGACCTCTTCCTTCCTTTTTTCCTTGTTTGAATAGTACCTTTTATACCACATTAATACACAAAGATATTTATAGCAATTTTCCTTAAGTTACCCTTATACTTGGTTGCTTTCTTTTCTGATACCTCAAATTTATCAGAAGGTACTGAGATTAGACTAAGTAGTCGGTTTTTTTGTCCCTTTTCAGGTACCTCTAAAATGATTTTCCTCAGAAAAGGATAAAAGGATAATCTAAAAGAATTTAAGGAACCAGAAGAAAATGAATGATACAACAAAGCAACTTAAAATTTGTAACATTCAGGCTTGGTGCTCGTAGCACAGTGGTTTTGGTGCCAGCCACATACACTGAGGCTGGCAGGTTCAAACCTGGCCCAGGCCAGCTAAAAAACAGTGACAACTACAACAAAAAATATCCAGGCATTGTGGCAGACACCTGTAGTCCCAGCTACTGGAGAGGCTGAGGCAAGAGAATCACTTAAGCCCAAGAGTTTAAGACTGCTGTGAGCTGTGATGGCATAGCACTCTACCGAGGGCGACATAATGAGATTCTGTCTTTTTTTTTTTTTAAAAAAAAGGGCGGTGCCTGTGGCTCAAAGGAGTTGGGTGCCAGCCCCATATTCTGGAGGTGGAAGGTTCAAACTCAGCCCTGGCCAAAAACTGCAATTAAAAAATAAATAAATAAATAAACTTATAAAAACAAACTGTAGCATTCAAAAGGTATAAACACATCAATAGGTTCCTAGCATGTAACACAGAGGACAAAAAGTCAGAGTAACATTCTGAACATAACCACAAAAATGGTACACATTTATTAACAGTAGGAAATCTTACACATTTATATTAACAGTAACAATATATTGTAACACACAGCCAAACCATTAGAAATTCATTGACAGTTATTCTGAGGCACTATCCTGAAAACAAGTGTGATACACACCATTAATATCTAACAAACTATGGCATTTATTTTAGAAGGAGAAATGATAAGTTTTGTCACAAAAACAGATTTCTGCTGTAAGTTCCTGAGATATATTTTAAAGATAAAAAAGAAAACCGAGGCTCGGCGCCTGTAGCTCAACCGGCTAAGGCGCCAGCCACGTACACCTAAGGTGGCGGGTTCGAATCCCC